TCACACTGCCACACCAGATTTATAGCCTGAGATAAGACTCAAGACATCGTTTTGCAGAATTTTAGCCTGAGAAAACTTAGTAAAACGTATCTGGAAGACTGAAAGATGAACTATGTGATGAATTAGAAATCAACTTCTGCAGAACCACAATTCCCCTCCCCTTTGAAAATACTCTATAAAAACAAGAAGCGTTCCCCTGGATAGTGGCCTCTCCCACCCCTCCCCTCACAGAGGGCAGCCCACTTTGCTCTTGGCTCTAGAAGAGGGACATGTCCTAGCCATGTGTGAAGTGTGATTCTCACTTCCTAAGGGGAACTGACTTCATCTCTTTTGAAGTTCTCCTATGCTTAAAACAACCTTTGGCTAAAACTCTTTGCTGCAGTGTTCTTGTGGATGTGTGAACTTGCCTTCAACTCTGGCTTCTCACAAATCACAGGGGTGTAGAACTGTCTAGTTTCCCTGTGGATGACCTCCAGACTGGCTCTCCTCTGCAGCGGGGACTGAATGTCACACAGATCACTTAAAAGGTTTTGAAAAACAAGATACTTTGCATAAAATGGATCTGACACCAAGATGAAACTTCACACACCCCTGAGATTCCAGTTAAAGATGTGTAAACTTCCACCAGTGATATTTATGATCCCACCTGAAAGCTATAAAACTATAACTGGGAACCCCCATTTAGTTCAGTATTCAGTATATGAAATTGATTACTTTACATCTATATATCAAATTATCTAATAGAACTCCATTCCCTACCACTAATCCATCCTCTTTTCTATCTCAACCAAACATTAACTAAATGATTATGTCATAACTTCTTTGTTTTGCGAACTTTCTCTATTTGCATGGAAATTTTAGTGAAATCATTTGTCCTGACTGGTGAAAAATGTTTTCCTGTATCCATATGTAATATGTTTATTATTTTCCTAAATAAGTTACATTTTTGTGGACTGAGTGAATTCTTCTCTACAGAGCCCTGTGTGCTGCTATCTCCGTTTCCTGCTGTTTCCTCAGCAGAAAGCTCACAGCAGAAAGCTCAGGTTATATAATTACCCTATAACAGTTAAAATAGTAGCTACCTCTTATAGTGTACCTTTGTGGGTCAGGCATTTTTCTAAGTAATATGCATATATTAATTTTTAAATTCTCAGAGTAGGCACATGTGATTGTAATCATTTCACAGAAGGATCAAAGGACACTGAAAAGGGGTGAAATGGTTAACTGATTAATTGTTCCTCAGGGTACCTAGATTCTTAACTACTCTTCCACTCCCAAGGGTTTCTGATTAGCTTACAAAGGTGATGCCACATTCTAGTCCCAAGAATAAAAGATGTTAATATTAGGGTAGCAAAGATGTTCTGAAACGAGTGTGCTGCAATCCTCCTTCGTGATCAGAGATGAACTCTGCGCTTGGTGAGTGCTGAAGCACATGGGCTCCTCCCTCTTAAAGCATCCTACAGCACTTCTAAGCCCATTCCAAATTTAAAAGACATCTCCATTTTCTCCAGTCATATCCCTAGATTCCAGACCTGTGTGGTAGGGCAAGGGAAACATTTTTTTCTAGGCTTGATGACAGATAAAGAACAAAAGAAAAACTACAGCGAATTTATGCATACTAGACATGGTTTTGAAACGCCAAAATTGTGGGAAGTCATGTATTGCATATATTTTGTCTGTATGCTTGTTTGTCATTTAGGACATCCTGGGCACCTTTTCTTCCACACATATATTTTCTGAAGATCAGTGGGATAAAAAATGAGGGGGGAACATTATTAATAGGAAATTGATGATAAAATATAAGCAAATGTTGCATTTTTTAGTATAATTGAGCCCGGTGAGTAGAAGGTAGAAAAAGGTAGGGAGAAAGGTGACATGGACTGGTTGCTAACATTAACTATTAAGAGCCACTCTCTGAGGCAGGCATTGGTGTGTCTAACTTTAAAGACAAGAAATAATTTGAGATGCAGAGGTTAAGATGATAAATTTATACCAGACCTAGGATTAACCTCCAACTTTGTCCAGAAACAGATGTAGTATCCACTTCACCACAACTTTTTTCTGCTATTCTATTGGATTCTAGACATTGGGTAAAGAGCCCTGTTGGCATAGGGCTAACTCACTGAGCTGCTAACTGCAAGGTCAATATTTAGAAACCACCAGCCACTCCTCATGAGAAAGATGGGACGCATTACTCCTTTAAAGAGTTACAGTCTTGGAAACTCACATGAGCAGTTCTAACCTCTCTTTTAGGGTCACTGTGAGTTGGTATCAGCTTGATGGTGGTGAGTTTGCTTCAAACAGTGGGTAATTTCTTTTGTCTCCTCCCATTCTGAAATGCTCTTGTTAAATAAATCTTATATTCAAAGAAATACATTTTTCAGAATCTCTTTCAAGGAGACCCGTAACCCCAGGTAGCTGGGGTTATTATAGAAGTTTTGGATAGAAAGGTGCTAATAAAAAACAAAACAAAATACACAGACAGACAAACAGAAAACAAGAAAAACAGCGGAAAATGAAAGTAAAAGAGATGATGGGAGGGGTAGAGAAGGCAGAGAACACCAGTGATAATGGTAGAGGACAAACCCAAGTTTCCATTATCTTTCAAGATTTGTCTCTTTTTATATTACATCTTTTGGGGTAGGGCAGGAAAGTTACCAGTGGGATCAAGACTACCGTGACCTCAGATACAGGAGGAGCAGTAACTCAATCCAGAGACAGACCTGTTTAAAGAGCTTACTTCGAAGTAAGAACAGAGTGCAGAACGGACATGCCAATTGGGGAACAGGAATGTCCTGCCACGGGAAATTCTGGCACACGTGATCATACATGGAGATGAATGAGATCTGTCCCTGAACTTTCCTAACCTAAGTGGTAGTGCAGACCTTATCACAGAGTTTTTTCTAAATGAATGCTGTCCTGATGCTGAACTAAATTTCATTTTATTTTTTCATGTCTCCCCTCCCCCCTCCTTCCGACAAAATACAATCTTTTATGTTCACTGACATGGTAAGTTCCTTTCTGCACACTATTCCCAATCTCCTCATTGTGCTGGCCAGATGTCAACTACTTCCTCAGACCTCAGCTTAAAAAATACCACTGCCCAAAGAAAACTTCCACAGACTCAAGAATCAATTGTTTATTTCCTTTTAGGTCCACTCACTGTGTCTTGAACTTGTGGTTGGTAGCATTTAGTGTAATTATAACCAGCTTAGAGAAGAAATGGTTTTAGCATACTTGATGGTTGATTTGAATATTTGTGGAAGAAATTTGTTAGTGAAATTTCCAGAGAAGATTTTATGAGTGAGGCCAGGACTCTGGGTTGACAGGACCCACCATGATGGTTGGCAGAGGTGGGTTGATTGTTTACAGATCAGCAGGGAAAGGAAAAACTTATAATAACCCCGTGGAATGGTGAGTTCCCTATTGCTGAGGAACTTCAACAATGTTAAGTAGACGTTTCACAGCCTCACAGCGGCTGTCGAGGCAAACTTTCAGCTGTGAAAGAAGTCTGTGTGCACGTGTGAATAGACGTGTGTAGCTGTGTGTGTGTTTTGATGGTAGGCAGTGGGTTGAAATTTACTTTAGAAGGTCCTTCCCACCTTGCACACCTGAGATTCTATTGTTATTCTTACTGTGGCCCACACGGTGCCCCCTTAAAACACACCCAATCTAGGGAGGTAGTTTTTCCTATTGGCTTTCCTTCTAGAAAACCTTTCTTTAAGAATCTGTTTATGATTTAGATTGTGTTGTTACATTATTTTTAAGGGTTGCTGTGTCATGAAGAAGTCCCAAAGAATAAAAGAGGTGTTTTTGATAGCCATGAGTTAAGATATTGTGGATATCATGATATAAGAATATTTTGGAAAGCCTTTAAGTCATACACAAATGCACCCACTTAGTTTCCTTCCTACTATTTCCTCATTCAAAATATTCCTGCAAATGTGGGTTTGTACCATGGAGCAGCTCCGTCAATTCACAGACTCGAAGTTAAATGAACAAAGAAAGGCTTATTGCACAAGAAGGGCAACTCCATCGCAGACTATATTGATTGTGTCCTGCTTGAAATCAGACTGTATGGAGAATATTCAACTTTTACTCTGGAATTTACAATGGAGAGTCGTGAATCTATGTTTTATATTAACTTGTTTTAAGATAATTGAGAGGAACAATTATTGAATAAGAACAAAAAGACAGAACAATAAGTTTCTTTTAAGTCTTAGTTTCAGGATGTCTCTGTTGACTAACCAGATAAGAAAATTAGCTTTTTGGTCACTAAAATTCAGGCAAGTAAAATTAGAAGCTGGTCCTTCCTGGAGACTTCCACAGCCTTTGAGCAATGAAGCAAGTGGTAAAAATATTCCGAGAGAATTTATGTGGGAGTCAAGGAAGAAATGGGGTAAATTACACTAATTGCATTTAGTAAAGATGATTAGACAAACTACATTAGGTAAAGTAACTTGGGTTACAAAACCTTTGCATATAATTTTGCCAATTGCTTCCTAGCTTTTTTCCAAATCTCACGAGAGAAACTCAGTGTGGTCCAAGCTCTGTTTGTTTGTTTTTCCCTAATTCATTCTGTTACCACGAAAATTTCTGTTCACATCTTCTCGATATTAGTCTGTATCATAGGTTGCTATTTCCTATATAGTTGTCTCCTCAACAACTTTCTAGGCACAATCACCTCTGCATAGCTGATCTACCAGTCTAGAGCTTCCCTAGAGGGAGACTGTAATCTCCATCAGATTGTAAATTCTCGATAGTAGTCATCTGTGAGGTTTTAGACACCACTCATACCACATTGGACTTTTGGTCGCCTCCGTGTGTGAGTTTAGTTTCCTCCTCCTCCTCCTCTTCTGCTCCTTTGCTTCCTCCTTCCCCTCGTGCTCCCTTTTCTTTTTACTTTTCCTCAGTGTCCAATGGCCTTTTTCCGTCATAATATTTATCAGCTTCTTCCTAATTTTCAAGGTGTCACAAGTCCTATGTGATGAAATGTCAACATGAAGAACTACAATAGCTCTATGAAGCTTTTACCTACAACATTCATTCTGGTTGGCATTCCAGGGCTAGAAGCAGAGCACATCTGGATCTCCATCCCCTTCTGCCTGATGTACATCATCATCTTCCTGGGGAATGGCACAATTCTTCATGTCATCAGGACAGACACTGCCCTACACCAACCCATGTACCTCTTTCTTGCCCTATTGGCTCTGGCTGAACTTGGTGTCTCTGCATGCACCCTGCCTACAGTGCTAGGCATCTTCCTGTTTGGCAGCACTGAAATTGGTTTTGATGCATGCCTTCTTCAGATGTTCACCATTCATTCCTTCTCCATCACGGAATCAGCTGTGTTACTAGCCATGTCGGTAGACCGCTTTGTTGCCATCTATAGCCCACTGCATTATACTACCATCCTGACTTTGCCCCGCATTATTGGCACAGGAGTTATTATTGGGTTGAAAAGTGTTATGCTCATGGCCCCATTGCCATTGCTCTTAAGGCGCCTGCCTTTCTGTGGCCATAATGCCCTCTCCCATTCTTATTGCCTCCACCCCAATCTTATTCACCTACCTTGTGGAGACATTTCTATCAACAATATATATGGACTTTTTATAGTTATCTCCACTTTTGGGCTGGATTCGCTGCTCATTGTGGTTTCCTATGGGCTCATACTCCACACTGTACTGGGCATTGCTACCGGGGAAGGGCGGAGGAAGGCACTTAACACATGTGGCTCACATGTCTGTGCTGTGCTTGCTTATTATGTGCCCATGATTGGCTTATCCATGGTGCACCGCTTTGGACACCATGTATCCCCTCTGCTGCAAGCCATGATGGCCAATGCCTATCTTTTCTTCCCACCTGTTGTCAACCCCATTGTCTACAGCGTTAAGACCAAAGAGATCCGCCGTGGCATTTTCCGAATGCTGTTCGGGAAGAGGGTCAGAACGTAGCCAGAGACCCAAGTTGAAAGACGTCTTTATTTTTTCTAAAACCACAAGTGGCACCAGGAAGCAAACCAAGAAGGAAAAGGCAAAAGGGCTGGTCTAGACCCCATACTGTCTCACCAAGCCTGGAGGGTAGCGTCCCCTGCATGGAGGACTGTAGGGCTCACAACAGCTCAAGACATGTCTCCTTACTGGAGTATACTGCAACAGAGCACAATACCAGGGACACGCGGCGTGGAGTTGTCCAATCTGAACCGCTCCCTCCACGCCCCCACCCACCACCACCACCGGGGGGCAAACCAAGAACGGAACAGAGCAGAACAGCAATGGGCACAAAGAAAAGACACAGGTCCCCTGAAGAGTCCCGCAAATAGACCTCAGGCTAGGAGGGGGAGCTCCCGGAATTCCCTCAGAACCAGTAGGGAGACCGTCCTAAAGGTCAGCAGACAGACCTGCAGACAGACCTAGAACTATGTATGTTATTTTTTTTCTTTTTCTGTTTTTAAACTTTTTTTTTCTTTTTGTTTGCTCTCTGTTATTGTTGGGTTGACTATTATATAAGATAGGCATGGGAAGTAAGCTCAAAAACAAAGCAAAGGGACCAATGGTCCTGGAGGGACTGAGGAGAAGGAGGTGGGGGAAGGGAGCAGTGAGCAAACAACTCCATAGACAGGGAACAGCTAGGGAATTAAAGCCAACAAGAACAAGAACAAGAACACAGAGATTCTGGGGGTGTTGGAGCAACAGTAATCTAGCTGAGAGGAATTACCAAAAGGCAGAAGTAGGGCCAGCACGATGGTGGGGCAGGAGGAAGGTGAAACAATCTAGGAACAAAACAGGAACAATCTAGGAAATAAAGATACTGATAGGGGTATAGGCATAGTTGTGCACATATGTTAATACATTAATTCATAAAAATAGAGGCATTGGCTCATGCACATATATTTATATGGCAATATACTGAGGTTGTGGACGAACTTTTGGACTCTGCTTATGCCCTCCCACAACTCAAGAACACTTTATTTTAACAACCTGGCCTTCTATGATGCTCACCCTCCCAGCACAATTGCTGAAGACAAAATGGATGCATAAGCAAATGCGGTGAATAAAGAAGATGGTACAGGGCTATCAAAAGATACAGCATCTGGGGTCTTAAAGGCTTGACGTGAAACAAGTGGCCATCTAGCAGAGAAGCAACAAGCCCACATGGAGGAAGCACACCAGCCTGTGATCATGAGGTGCCAACAGGAGCAGGTAACAAGCATCAGAAGACCCAAAACAAACAAACAAGAAAAACACATTGTTGAGAATGAGGGGGGTCAGAACAGAGACCCAAAGCCACAGGGAAGGGATGAGTCAATCAGGGTGCAGTAAAGCACCAATGAAACAAACAATACTCCTCTCATTCCTTGAGGCTTCCTCACACACACACACACCCTTACATGACCCAAATACTGCCTTCTACTGCGGGCTAGGCCAGAGCATGTGCATAGGTACGGATCAGACATAAAAGCTCATGACACATGGAATTCAGGAACAGGACTGGGAGTAGCGATACCAGGAAGGCAGGGGAAAAGTGGGGAGATGAAGGGGGAACTGATTGCAATGCTTGACACATAACCACACACACTCCCCACCCCTGGGGGATGAAAAACAGAAACCATGGGGGAAGGGAGACTTCAGTCAGTGTAAGATATCAAAATAATAATAATTTATAATTTATCAAGTGACCATGAAGGTGCGCGGGGGGAGAGGAGCTGACACCAAAGGCTCAATAGAAAATAAATGTCTAGAAAATGATTATGGCAACAATGTACAAATGTGGTTGATACAATTGATGTATGGATTGTTACAAGAGCTATAAGAGCCCTCAATAAAATGGTTAAAAAATAAAATAAATAGTGTTGGGAAAACTGGCTATCAACCTGGAAAAAAATCAGCATCCCTATCTTAAATCATACACAAATATAACACAAAATGGATCCAAAGACCAAATATTAAACCTAAAAACATTAAATTCCTGGAAGAAAACATACAGAGGAAACTAAAGGCCCATAAGGGAGAACCAGAGAAACAATCAAGGATATATTGTTTTGCTAATATCTAGGGGCTTAAGGACCAGGACAGAATAGGATGCAGGATTACTGCTAACAGAGACTGGCTGAACAAGAAAGTTTCCAGCAAGGGAGGTTGTTCTAGGGGATCTTTTTCTAGTTCAAATAAGGTGGATTACCAAAACCTTTCACATGTATTGAATACCCAAAAACCCCAAACCCCCAAACTTACCCATATGCAAAAACGTGTAGTTTGTGTAATATTAGTAGTCTTAGTATTCAGTGCTGTTTAGATGAAGGGAGCATTCACAATGTCTTCTGGCTGTGCTGGGGCTCCCTGGCTATCTGTAGGGGAAGTTATCATCAAGGTAGTCTCAAGAATATACAGAAAATGTTTGCAAAGCTGACGTGCAGCCATTTTGGAGGGCTAACAAATGTCCCTATACTGCACAAGGACGCCCTAGGACTAGCCCTTAGACTCTTACTTCCAGTCTGCCACACTCTCATTGAGATCTAGGCACTGGAGACTTGCAGCCAGAGACTGCAACAGTAGTAATTTCTAGAACAAAAGACTACTCCAAGGAAAAGAATTCTCAAGATGGAGAAGACAACAGTATATCATCTGAGAAGTAAATAATTAAACCAGTTAAAAAACTAGAAAATTGGTTGGTGGAGAGAAACATTAGCTTGAAAGGGAAATGACGGGCCAACCCCTGAGTCTGACTGGTTCCAGCAGCCCAGTAGGCATGCTTAGGTGCTGGCATTGCCTGGGGAAACTTCTCATGACAGGCTGATGGCTGAAGATGCTGGCAATTCTCAATTCTGGTTGATATTTTACATCAGCAATCCTTGTAGCCCAGCTGGTAATAAAGAACATTACTGAAAACACTAGGGGCAAAAAGATAGAGAAGTGAGAGGCACTGATCCCGGGTAAATTATGACAGTCAAGGAATATAAACACAGAGGTAGGAGACATGCTTTCAAACACCCTAGGCTAGGGCTTGCCCTCATGCTTGAAATACAACATGGATTATCCCTGTGGGTCCTCTGGAGAAGGAAGGCCCGTGTACTGCAAATTCCAGACCACAATACATGCCAAGCTTACAACTGGGGTCCCTTTAGGGCTTGTCTTCTCACAGGGATGAGTCATGTAACTGAAGTGATGCCTGTAACCCTAACTCTCCCCCTCTCCCAAGGGGTCAAAATATCAAGCCACTGAGAATTGCTTTGTCATGTGCACGGGAAAGAGACATCAGTCCTCCCAGGGGGCTCTGTACTGAGGCAACTGCAGCAGGAAATTGTTGGAGGCTTCAGGCAGAGGCAGGGAACATTCCTCACCTTTGAGAAATAAACACATGAATTTCATGATCTTTTGTAGCCATTGGAGTAATCATTTATAGGCACTGGGTTGTGTTTGACCTTGAAACGGGTTGCTGTAATCAATGCAGGGCCTCTGACAGTCACCCATGTCTGATGAAGTAGGATCCTTAGTCACTGTGGACATCTTTTAGGATGCCGTAGGTGGAACACATGGAGAGGCTGGATCCTTGGGTCACACATTTCTAGTAGGCCAGAGCCAGTGTTCACACATATTGGGGTATAACAGCAATTGTCAAACATAGGGAAGGGCCCTGTGTAACCCACTTGCCACTGTTTGATGGGGGTCTCTGCGTGGAGAATTTTGCCCAGCTGCCAGGGGCTAGACCTGTACCTTTACACTGAGTAGCTGGAGTAATCTCTAGAAATTCCAGTGATTGGCTTTCTATAGAGAGTCACATTTATTTTACCATAACCCCAAAGATCTGCTGTCCTTTTTACACTATTTTCCAATAGAGCTACTCTGCCCACTATTTGATGGGGGCTTTTCCAGTGGAGGAATGGCCTATGGGCCACTACGTGAAACGTGACAACTTCCATGCCTTGTACCCAAGCTCAGATGTCTTTTCATAAATGCGCTCCCGGCAGGAGCTGCTGGCCCACAAGCTACTCTTGTTTTTGCCATTGTGCTAACCACAATGTGAGAGTCCTGTGCAGTGGATAGGGCTATGGGGGTGGCATTCATGCATGAGCATCATCCCGTTGGCCCTGTCCTCCCCTCCATTGAGCCCGTATTGGCTGTTCTGTTCTCCCCACCATGGACTCACATGTCATCTGCAGCTGACTGGATAGCTACTGCTGCCCACTGCAGAGGGCTGCTTTGGGCTGAGCCATCTGTGTGCCAGTTCTCCTTGGCAACACTGCATTTTGTGGGCTGTCTGCTTCCTCAATGGCATCTGTTGCTGGCTAAAGGACCTAGTATCGCCAGCTCAGCACTCAGGATGAGCTGACGGGCTGCTTCTCTGTGTCACTGGGACACCTTTGGTGATGTCTTCAACCAACTCCAAACGATTGGACAGAGCACAGAGTGGTTTTCCTGTAGGGCTGGGCCTGTCTCTGCACCCTGCCACAGTTGAGAACAAAAACCCAGGCAGTCTATGCCATCCTTGTAGCAGTTGCCAAAGTCTCAGAATTATCCCTTGGGGTAGTTGGCAACGTCCGAATCACAGTCCGCCTGCTGCCATAATGGCTCCGAAGAGGAGCCCTGGAGGCAGTGGTGATGTGTTGGACTGTTATCTGCAAGATGTATGAAGCACCAGCCATGAGAAAGGTGGGATTTTCTACTCCAGTAAAGAGTCACAGTCCCAGACACCCCCAGTGGGAGTTCTACTCTGCCCTAACGGGTCCCCCGGAGTCAGAATCAGCTTGCTGGCAATGACTCGAGTTTATAGCCCTGAAAGTCTGTACACGGGGGCCTGTCACTCACATAGTATTGGTATTGAGGCCTTTTCTGTCTTTAGAGGTGAAGCCCATATCGCTCCTTTCTTTACCAGCCAGTATACAGGGTCCTATCTGTACTAGGTGAGGAATGAAGTGTTGCCCATATTCCAGGAATCCCAGGAATGTCTGCATTTCCTTTACCTTAATGGGGTGGGGGAGTCTTTGACTTTAGTAATCTAGCCTCAGGTACCACCTTTCTCTTACCCAACCACACAACACTCAAGGTGTTCAGCAGTCTATGGGGCGAGAGCGTGTGGGAAAGGGGCGACTTGAACAGGCTGTGCTCACGTCCAGACCAGTGACCTTCCAGCTCCGTGGCTGTTCAGCAGCTTCAGATACCCTACCCCTTGGCAGGTCCTGGGGAGCCACACCTAGCAGTCAGGGCCAGTCCATCCCACCCCTAGACACCAGGACAAGCTGAGCCTGTAATGGGGGATCCTGTTTCTTCTCCCCACTGTTCTGCTTCTGAGGCTGCAGAGGACTCCAGGGGACCCCTGTCCTTGGAGTTCCACACCCTCCTCGTGAGGACTCCGGCACCAACTGACACCCTCTCACCTCCTCTAGCTGGCCTGCCAGTGGTTCTATCACAGCTGGACGGGACAGAGTTAGCACTTTTTGGAACGCTACCTTCATTTCAAGTCCTGCTTTCAACTCCTCCAGCCGCTGTGCCTTCTTTGTGCAGCCACCTCATTGTCCACGGAGGCCTCGCCAGCAGGAAAAAGGGGGCTAGGTTACCTTGGCACCTAGCACTGCATTATCTTTCTTAGTCTAACTACTTCTACTCCTCTCAGAAAAATCCTAACAGTTCTTGTGGTGCAACCCTGTACCATGTCCGTCCCCAGGTTCCTAACAGCTTCCCGAACGGACCAAATATTGTTGCCAATAGCCATTGGGGACTTACGCTTTGAGTCCAATCTCCCATCCAGTTTGGGGGCTCCTGAATTTCTGAGCTCCTGGCTCATTCACCAATTGCTTGGATTCAGCCCCACGATGGAGGGACTCTATGCGTAGGTGCTGAGGGATTGAAAACCTGACCAAGGAACAATCTGAGAGATGATTTTATTTGCACTGGGAAGGTTATTGGTCCAGGACGTAGTATTACTTCCAGTGGTGACCAGAGGGACATTCCATTCCCTCTGAAAGAAACATTCCGTTCACAAGAATTGTTCTGGGAAATCCTTTTATGATTCAAATGAGGTTGACTATTACAATCTTTCACATTATGATGCTAACCCACTTGAAACTTGAGCCTCGGGGTTAGGTACATGGGGATGAAGCAGGAAGCATTCACCACTCCTCTGGCTGTGCTATGGCTCTGTAGCTGTCTGTTGGGGGAGGGTATCATCCAGGGGAGCTCAAGAGTACATGAAAAGGGCATGCTTAGTTGAAGGGAGGCCTTTTTGGAAGCATTAACACATGTGCTTACAAAAAGCCAAACCTTAACCAGAACAGATGTCTAGAGAAGTGAGCCTAATAATTGTTGCCTTTTTTGGGGGGTGGTGGGGGTGGTGGTGTCTATAAGGCTTTTTCAATTCAAAAGCAAATGCTGATAAAGTTAAAATAGCCTATAGTAGTTTACCAGTGCTATTGAACTGGAGTCTAACTATTGAAACCCAGCAAGAAACTGCTTGGAACCCACCAATAGTCAAATGACCTCAAAATGTGGCTGGATTTCAGAAAGTTTATAACTTGAAGTATAGAAATCAGAAGTAGACCAGTATCAAAAGTTTTATTTTCTATCTTTCTTTCTTTTTGTAGGCAAATTTACTCCCCAGTTCCAGAACACTGTTTCTAAGAATTAAAGCGATCAGCCATCTCATTTTCTGTATGAATTTCCCAGTTTTAGCTAAGAAAGTACCATAGCCTGGTAAACCCAAATTGATGGTGGTCCTTTTAATCAGAAGTAGAAGTAAATAATCCTAGTAGGAAGATGCCAACCTACAGATCTAATTATCATAATAATTTACATTCATTACAAATCTAGCATAGCATGCAACATAAAGAACAGAACAAAATCATGAGAACAATTAGCAAAGGAAAATGGTTAGATCCTCAGAACTTCCATATATTGGTCTCATTATATTCATTAGAAGAACTATTTAAATAAAATTGAAGAAAATAAAGAATAATATGTGAGCAGATATAAATCAATATTGATTTTAAGAATAACATAATGTTTTGTATATTAAATTACATGTATAAATAAAATATGTATGCCAAAAAGAAAGATTGGAAGAAGTAAATAGAATTATATAAGTTTTTAGGATCTACATTGTACAGGAAGCGGTAAAAAACTAATGACATTTACATTTGATTAGTTAACGAAATATATTCTAATTTCTATGATAACCACTAAAAATTTGGTAAATTAAGTTTTACTGTAGAGTTAAAAAAAATAAAAAAGAACCCTGGTGCTGTTGTTGAGAAAATAGGACAATAAAGCATAATAAGCAATATAAATTTAAGCAGGAACTTTGCAAAAAGGATAAGAGAAATTTAAATATGGTAAATAAATTTAAATTAGCTTCTATGAGTAAATGCATTAAAAGACAAATAATATATTTTAAATATCATTCACAACTACCTACTTAGTATATTTGGGATTTAACAAATTATCTTATTGACAGATAACCTTTCTGGCTTACCAACCAGTGGGAATCAAGGTCTCAAGATGGCTTTTCATGGAATCCTGATGAGACCTGTATCAACTCCCCACCCTCCAGTTTAGAGATCTGCAAAGGCTTATAACACACATGCTCCTGAGTCCAGAAGAGCAAAGAAAGACCATAAATATTGACGATCACAACAGACAACAGAAGCCATAGGTAAGATTTCTCTGTGAATGATCAGAGATGAGGGTAAAAGGATGAAAGCCAGCAAACGTAGACAGGTAAATACACATAGGCTGCACTCCAGAAACAGAATTGTCCCTACTTACACTGTTTGTACTGTCTTCCACCTGGTGCCTCTCTTCTACTGTCACTCAATCTCTGGGTAATTTTTGATATTGTAAACATACAACCCATGGTCTCAGATGACATTAAGCAATGATAATAAAAGGACAGACTAGAAAGGAGGGACTAACTTTGAGGTATAATGGTAAAAGAGGAGCAGTAGTGCAAGAGATGGCCATGAATTAGAGAATTCTTTTTAACAAGGGGAAATGTTTTCAGTCAAAGAAGAATTAAGGAGAAATTGAATAGAAAGATGCCCCAAAAGATGAAGACTTAAAAATTTGGTAAATTAAGTTTTAATCTGCAGTGGGGGGAAAACCCATTATACTTCTGCTCTAGACTTCATTTCGAGTCTTTGTGATTTGTTGAAAGGCAGGCTTAGAGAGCTAAGAACTGAAGAAGAGGACAAAGCAAACATTGAAGCAAAAAATATTTAGAAGTTTAACCATTATTGAGTCTTGTATGGGAGCTGAGTTCTGTGTAAGCAATCTTGCCTATGATAGACTCATGAAGAGCAACAATGGTGTTCTGGACATATCCTTAGTTATCCTCTGAAAATTTATGTCGATAGGCTTTAATATGTGATAGGTAAACATACGGAACAACAGCATATCTAATGGTTTGATTCTCTTTCAGCAAAGACTCTGAATCTGGAGCCTCAATCGTTTGTCATGTCCCAGATAAAAAATGCTACCCAAGAGCCCTTCGTCTTCATCCTCACAGGTATCCCCGGTTTCGAGTCCTATCACAGATGGATCTCCATTCCCTTTTGCTGCTTCTACACAATCTCCATCATAGGCAACAGTATCATCCTTACTGTCATTCGTACAGAGCCATCTCTCCACCAGCCCATGTACCTATTTCTCTCCATGCTGGCTCTGACTGACCTGGGTCTCACCCTCACCACCCTGCCCACAGTCATGCAGATTCTCTGGTTCAATGCCAGAGAAATCAGCTTTGAAGCATGCTTTGTGCAGGTATTTTTCATTCATACATTCTCTTTCATGGAATCAACTGTCCTGCTAGCCATGTCCTTTGACCGCTATGTGGCCATCTGTCGCCCTCTGCGTTACGCTTCCATCCTCACCAATGAAGTCATTGGCAAGATTGGAGTAGCCATCATTTGTCGCTGTGTTCTCGCTGTTCTTCCCTCCCTTTTCCTGCTCAAGCGCCTGCCCTTCTGCCGCTCACACCTTCTCTCTCACTCCTACTGTCTCCACCAGGATATGATTCGTCTGGTCTGTGCTGACATCCGAGTCAACAGCTGGTATGGATTTTCTCTGGTGTTGCTCATTATAGTGATGGACCCATTGCTCATTGTGTTATCTTATGCAATTATCCTAAGAAGCGTCCTGAGTATTGCCTCTATGATTGAGCGACTCCGTGCCTTCAATAACTGTCTGTCCCACATTCTGGCTGTCTTGGTCCTCTATGTCCCTATGATTGGAGTATCTATGAGTCATCGCTTTGCTAAGCATACTTCTCCACTGGTCCACGTGATCATGGCTAATATCTACCTGCTGGCACCTCCTGTGATGAACCCCATCATTTACAGTGTTAAGACAAAGCAGATCCGCCAGGGAATTGTCCACCTCCTTTCCCAAAGAAACATGCACTTGAGATGAAAGAATCTATTTTGGAATTAATCAGGAGTAACTGTCATAGGCTTAAGTAAAAGATATCATATGAATTGGAAAATGAAGAGTATAAAATAAACAAATCATTTTATTTCATGCAATGTTCAGATAATTTGAAGTTCTAAAACTTAGCTTGAGTTTTTCAACACACTCTCTTTCCCAAATAGTTTAACATGTACATTCATATAAACTCATTTATTTATGGAAAAATTGTAACACGTAAAAATGAAACAAGAACAAGAAATAACAAAGTTCCAAATTACTGTTTTAGTGATAAGATAAAACCTAGTGAGTTTTGGTCAACTAATACGGCACTTTTAGCCTTAATTCCTTATGTAATATACTATAATTCTGGACTTTATGTATCTGTGGCTTTTATACACCCATTTTGGAGGGCATCCTCTCCTATTCTAATTGACAGGAATAAGATGGAATTAAGATATCCCCTTACTATATGGCATGAGCTAAGCAATACCCTCTGTTTTCTTGTGGGCAGCTTTAAGAACCCCCACCTTAGTAGAGGGTGTGACTTAAGACCCCATACTATGTTTTCCTTGGATGGGGCATATATACTGGTATCACAGTACAGCTCTAACACATATCACCTCACCTGGAAAGCCATACCTCTATTTCCTGACTGCGCTGTGGTAGAAGCAAGTAAATCTTCTGTAAGACTTTTGGACATTTTTAAATTCTGGCTATAGAACAAGCATTTGGCTGACATTCAGAGTTGGGGCTGAAGAGCATCCATCTACCACCATGTGAGATAATTCCTTAAAGTTCTGTCAGCTTCTGTGGGATGTTGGAGGGAATTACAGAATCTAGGAACGTGAAGGAGTAGGGGGTGGAAATGGAGCATAATGTCATCTCAGAAGAGTTGTCATTTGGGACATCTTTAATCTCCAATTCCTTGGAGCTAGTTTGGAATTAATTCTTCTAAAAGTTATTACTATTATCACACCCAGGCTTTCCTAAAATAATGTGGTATTCTATCATTAAATTCCATACTGAGATAATAGCAGAAATAAAAGATAGATTTTTTAAAAAACATTAAACTATTGTAATTTATCTAAATATTCAACCCTACTAGGAATAAAAGTGTCCATGAAAAATAGGAAAACTCTCAAAGAGATGGCTTGACACAGTGGCTAGCACAATGGGATTAAACACAGCAACAATTGTAGTGGTGGCCCATCACTGGGCAATGTTTCTTTCTGCTCTCTATAGGCAATTTGACACTGGCACCAAAAATAATAGGGATATGAACAAAACTTGGTTTTGTTTTGTATTGTTTCTGATATGTGAGAAACAGGCAGCATCATTCTAAAATGTTAACATAAAAAAAGATGGAATCCTAGATGTGGACCTGGGAGAAAAATCTAAAGGTTTTCTACTCCTGGAAAGAGTTTCCGTTTCAGAAACCTACCAAGAGCAGTTCTACCCTGTCCTGTAGGGTCACTCGGAGCTGGAAGCAACTCGGTGGCAGTGAGATTTATGGATAAATTCATGAGTGACTTCTGCAGGGGAAAACTATTCTAAAGCTAAGGGACGTCTGAGAATGCATAATTCTATGTATGCAAAAATGAGGTAACTTAATATGAATCATTGACATAATAGCAGAGACAAAGTATTCAAACATATCAGTAATCATAAAGACAGCACAAACTGGGCAATGATTCATTCTGTTGTGTCAATTTGTCACTTTATAGCAGCAATAAAACATTTATATATGTATATAAATTTTGTGTTCATTTGTGTAAGTTTTTGAATATGTGTATATATACACACATACATATCCATGTTCTTCACAAATATGGAATAAGCATGTTATTTTCTGTTCCATTTATATTGGGAACCTTAAAATTTCAAATCCATGAAAAATTTTTTAGAGAAATATTAACAAATAATTGTCAATTCTCATTATTCTATTTCATCCCTATTTCTTATTAGGTTCCATTATTGCACCAAAAATCTAGCATTAATTAATAGAAATGAGCTGCATACATGGGTTATAATTTTCTAAAAGCTACATTAAGAAGTAAAGAAAAATAGTGAAAATAAGATTTATAATATATTTTAATTAACCTATTAAATCTGAAATATCATTTTAATATATGTCTTGCGATAGCATATCTTAATCATTTTCCTATATTAGTTCAACTCAAAATAGAACAATTGCAAACATCAATTAATAATTGAAACTGTACAAAGGATGAATCTGGGAAAATTAGAAGTTGTCAAAAATGAAATGGAACAAACAGAGGTCAACATACTGGGCATGTGGGAGCTGAAGTAGACTGGTCCTGCTATTTTCAGTCAGAACACCCTAGGGATCCCTGTGCCAGGAGTGACACAGTCAAGAGGAATGGTGTTGCATTCATCAACAAAAAGGACATTCTAAGATGCATTGGTAAGTACAATGTTGTCTGGGTAAGATTATATCTATACCCCTTCAAGGAAACTCAATAAATACAGTTATTATTTAAATTTATGCATCAACTACAAAAATCTCGTATTGAAGAAATTTAGGAATTCTACCAATGTTTTCAGCCTGAAATCGGTAAAACATGCAATCAAGATGCATTGATAATTATTGGAAATTAGAATGCAAAAGGTGGAAACAAAGAGGAAGGAACATATAATCTTGGTGATAGAAACGAAGCTGGAGATCGCATGATAGAATTTTTGCAAAACCAAAAACTTGCTCCTAGAAAATGCTTCTTTCTCCCAACAACACAAATGTGAACGATACACATGGCGGCTTTTTCTAGATGGAGCACACAGAAATCAAATGGAGTACATCTGTGGGGAGAGACAATGAAGAAGCTCAATATCACCAAATCAGGCCACGGCTGATTGTAGAACAGACAATCAATTGTTCATATAAGTCCAGGTTGAACCTGAAGAAATTTAAAACAAGGCTACTGGAGTCATATTACAAACTCGAGTCTCTCTCACCTGAATTTCGAGAACATCTGAAGGACAGATTTGATGCATTGAGCACTAATAACACAAGGACTAAGATGTGGGAGGACATCAAAGACATCGCTCATGAAGTAAGCTAAAGACAAGAAAGACAGAAAATACCAAAGTGCATGTCGGAAGAGACTCTGAAACTTGTTCTTAATCATAGAGTAGCTAAGGTAAATGAAAGAAATGATGGCATTAAAGAGCTCAATGGACAATGTGCATTTCTTTTGTTAATAAGTAGCTTGTAACTGGTTTTTGAGAATCAAATAAAATTTTTAGCAAGAAGTCAATGAGAGATCCTAATTCTTTATACTTCAAACCTAAACCAAACTCTGCCATCGAGTCGATATTGACTCATACTGACTCTATAGGACAGGGTAGAACTCCCTCTGTGGGTTTCTGTTACTGTATCTGTTTACTTGAGTAGAAAGCCCCACCTTTTTCCCTTAGAGCAGTTAGTAGTTTTGAACTGTCGACCTTGCATCAGGACTCCCTTCATTACATTTAGAACTCTGAAAATGGTCATTGATTTTCCCAGATTGTTTTCCATGAGTAAATAAAACACTTCGATTTTTTTACTTTTTAAAAGATAATTTTATTGGGGGCTCTTACAGCTCTTATAACAATCCACACATCAATTGTATCAAGCATATTTGTACTTATGTTGCCATCATTATTTTCTAAACATTTACTTTCTATTTGAGCCCTTAGTATCTGCTCCTCTTTTAGCCCTCCCTCCCCCCCCCCACACTCGTGACCCCTTAATAAATTATACATTATTATTTTCATATTTTACACCAACACCTGTCTTCCTTCCCTGCGGTTTCTTCCTTGGTCTGGTCCCCACCTTCCCCCTACCCTCCTGGTATTGTTACTCCCATTTCTGTTCCTGAGGGGTTTATCTGACACAGATTCCATGTGTTCTGAGCTCTTATCTGTATCTCTGTACATACTCTGGCCCAGCTCACAGTGAAAGGCAGTACTAAGGTCATGATAGTGGGGTTGAGGAAGCCTCCAGGAACCAGAGGGGTATTGTGTGTTTCACCGGTGCTACACTTCACCCTGGTTGGCTAATCCCTTCCTTATGACCCTTCTGTGAGGGAATGTTACATTGTCTACAGTTGGGTTTGGGCTCTCTGCTCCGATTCTCCTAGTTCTCAACAATGTCTTTTTATTAGGTTGGTTGTTTTGGGTCTTCTGATGCCTGTTACCTGATCCTGTTGACACCTCATGATTGCACAGGCTAGTGTGTTTCCTCCATGTGGGTTTGTTACTTCTCTTCTAGATGGCTGCTTGTTTAACTTCAAGCCTGTAAGACCCCAGATGCCATATCTTTTGATAGCCGGGCACTGTCAGCTTTCTTCACTACATTTGCTTGTGCACCCATTTTGTCTTCAGTGATCATGCAGGGAGGGTGAGCATCACAGACTGCCAGGTTGTTAGAACAAAGTTTTCTTGCGTTGAGGAAGGGCTTGAGCAGAGGCTCAAAGTCCATTCACTTCTTCAATGTATTGCCATATATGGCAATATAACTATATGTGCATATGCCTGTATCTCTAGTTTTATTAATATATTTACATAAGTGCACACCTATGTTTACACCTCTATCTATAGCTTTGCTTCCTAGATCTTTCCTGTTTCCTTTTACCTTCTTCCTTTCCCACCATCACACTCACCCTTTTTCTGCTTCTTAGTAATTCCTCTCAGCTAGATGGCTGTCGCACCAACACTCCCAGGATCTCTACATCCTCCTCGCTGTTGATTTTAACTCCCTAGTTGTTCCCCTATCTATGGTGTTGTTTGCTCACCACTCCTTTCCCTGGCTTCCTCCTACTCTCAAGTCCCTCCAGAACCATCAGTCCTGTTGCTTTCTCCTCGGGCTTGCTTCCCATGCCTGCCTTACGTAAGTAGGCAAACCAACAATAACATAGACAATTCAAAAAGAAAACAAAAAAATTGAATAAAAAAAGAAATAGAAATATATACATAAAGAAAAATAATAATAACTAGGAAAAAAACCCAAAAAGCATAGACAATTCTAGATGTGTCCACTGTCCTTTATGATTATATCCCCAATGGTCCTGGAGGTTCCTGGAACTGACCCTCCTGGCCTGAAGTCTATTTGGGGGCTCCTCAGGGGCATTGTGGCTTTGCTTTAATCCCATTGCTGATCTGTTATGTTTCATTCTTGGTTTGCCCCCTGTGGGGGGTTCAGACTGCACTTACTCTCCTCTATGTGTCCCCAGTATTATCCTCTGTCTTGGTATGCTCCAGTGAGGGGTCATCATGTCTTGAGCTGTTGTCAGCCCTCTGGTCCTCTCTGTGCCTTAGCAGCTCTGTGCAGGGACATCGTCCTTAGGGCTTGGTCTGATGATATGAGGTCTAGAAGTTCAATCCTTCTTTTTCCTTCTTGGTATACTTCCATGTGGGAGTGGCAGACCAATCCCTCTCCCCAACCTCTTGGTTTAGTATGTTCTCCTCTGTAGCACATACTTCTAAGGAGGGGGTCAGCTTGGCTCTGATTGGGGTTGGCCCTGTAACCTGCTTTGTTTATGTGTTGCTCTATAAACTCTCATTTCCAATTCTGCGGAGATATAACCAATACTCTTCCCTTGGGTAGGTTAGTGCCCTCTCCCCCAGTGCTATCTTCCTCCACCTTTTTCCCTTTTTCTCCCTCCCCGTTCCCCACTTTCCCCTTGTTTATTTTGGAATGGCTTATACATCCTTAGGTTTGGCCTGCCTCCCAACCAACTTCCTGTACCTCAACCCATATAATGTGAGATAAGTGGTTTTTCTTCTATACCTACTGTGCTGATTATACTTACCTCAGTGGACTCATGTTGTGCTTGTCCTTTTGTGCTTGGATATTTTCGTAAAACACTTTTTAGACCTGAGCTCAGCATGTATAGTTTATAAATATGCAGATATAACAAAATACCTGTACAGTTGCTAAAACACAATTTGATACATATACAATAACTACATCTTAGAATCAGTGTTCAGTTTTTTACAAGTTTGACTGCTATGATACCATTCCCTCCTTTGGATTTGGATTATATTATTTACAATCTTTCAATCACACTGGCTTCTTCCATGTGAACTTTCTTGACTCCTCACTTAGTCTCTGCCACTTCAGAGAGAAAACTGGCACATGCTCTTTTGATGGTCCTGGGATTTCTCTCTCTGTGTTCATCCAAGATGTCTCATCTTTACAGCCAGGGGGTGATATCAAAAACTGACCAATTCCCTCTATTAACATTACACTCACTCTATTTTCAGAGTTTCACCCAATCATTTGGTGGAAGTTCAGAGTAATGGGTAGAAGACCCATATTAAATTTTACTCCACCACAACTGGAAAGTGTTTTGCTCTGCTGTAACGTCACTGTGTGTTGGAACACACTCCACAGCACCCAAAATGGCAATATTATTAATATCATAAAACATTAATTCAATTAATTCATTTTTACAATTAGCTTTTGTGTTGATGGCAATCTTGAAAGAAAACTCTTTCCAGGTAACTTAAGTTGGGTATTATACCATATATTTTCATTTAAGAAAAAGAAGTGATTTTTGTCTTGAAGTGAAGCTAGTAGTTCCAGGTACATAGAATAATCCTAGAATGAAGATTGTGGGGCGGGGGAGAATCACTACAGAGCAATTTTGTTGTTGTTTGCTTTGTATTTTTCACTTAAAAAAACTTTTTATGTGTATTAAGTGGGAATTTGTTTCAGATAATCAATTTTGTATTCAACAACTTAAACTACTTGTCAAACTTCCCAATAGCTTATCCTGCCTCCCTTTTTTCCTCTTCTCTCTTGTAGCAGACTTTCTTCTCTTCCAACGCTAGCCTCTCGGCTCTTGCTTCCCCTTCCCTCGCACTCTGGCAGCCATCAAAGTCTGTCCCTTTGGGTATGAAAACTTTTGTCTTTATTTTTTCTGAGTGGTCTCATACAATATTTGTCCCTTTGTGATTGATTAATTTTTGTAAGGATAATTTTCTCTAAATTCATGTATGCTATAAGGTGCTTCACAGTTTCATAGTTATTCTTTAGTTATGAACACTATTCCGTTGTGTGCGTGTACTAAAGGTAATTTATCTATTCTTTCACAGTGGACATTTAGATGGTTTCCATCTGCTTGCTATTGGGAGCAGTGCTGTGATGAACATGGGTGATGAACATCACCAACAAGAACTACTTTCAGATGGTACAGAATTTCTTAGTTCTTGAAGATTCTGTGGTTGACCACTTCTTCATTAGTTACCTGCAGCAAGACACCTTCCTCAGCTGTTGAAATGAAGAACTTTAGTCTTTGTGGCAGCAGAATATACTTGTCCATGGTTCATATCAAGGCCATGGCAAATAGGAAGAAGCTCAATATCGGCTCCTCCCTCCATAACCCCCACTTCCTCCACTGCCTCCTGGACCATAGTTTCCTCCACCATATGGTCCACCCATGTTCCTGCTACCCCCAAAGTTTCCACTCTTCATTGGACCGTAGTTAGATGGTTGCTGGCTATAATTTCCAAAGTCATTGTAATTTCCACTTCCATAATTTCCTCCAGGTCCTCCTCCATACCCATTATAGCCATCACCAAATCCACGACCACTTCCATATCCATCAGATCCTCCTCTGAAGTTACTTCCTGGTCCAGGTCCAAAATTTCCTCCACCACCACGTGAATCCCCGAAACCAAAGTTGCCTCCTCTTCCACTCCTAGAACTTTGGACCTCCTGCATTTCTTGTCTAGACAATGCCTTTCTTACTTCTGCATTATGACCATTGATGGTGTGGTATTTCTGCAACACGATTTTATCCACAGGATCATGGTCATCAAAAGTAACAAAACCAAAGCCTCTTTTCTTTCCAGACTGTCTGTCAGTAATTATCTCAATGGTATCAATTTTTCCATATTCCTCAAAGTAATCTCTAAGGTGATGTTCCTCAGTATCTTCTTTAATTCCACCAACAAACAGCTTCTTCACAGTTACATGAGCCCCTGGTTTTCCAGATGTACAATGGTCCTTGTGTCTTTATGGTATATGCTAAGCAATTGATTTCTGAGTCAGGTGGTATTGCAATTCCAAATTGTTTGAGAAAATGCTATTTCACTTTGCACAGTGGTTGCAGTTTGACTATCCTGCCAGCAATGAATGAAGGTGTCAATCTCGCCACAACCTCTTCAGCATTTGTAATGTTTTATATTTTTGAACTTCGCTATCGATGCTGGTGGAAAGTGGTATCTCCTCGTTGTTTTGATTTTCATACTATTTTGACTAAGTATTTAGATGTACATAGTGTCTTATTTTTAGAAGATCCTAGTTATCTATTTTGTGTTCTGCCCTGTGTGTGTGTGTATTGTTTGGTAGTAAGTTCATACCATTTTAGGGCCTCTAAGTTTGCCCCTATTTTCTCATTGATAACCTTATAGTTCCATGATTTACATTTAAGTCTTTAATCCATCTTGAGTACTATTTTGCATATGGGATATGGTATGGGTCCTCTTTCATTCTTCGGCAGTGGAACTCTGATTTTGTCAACATCTTTGTTGATTTTGCTAGCGTTTCCACTTAATTTAATGCATTTGTTCTTTGTTGAAAATTAATTGTCTGTAGGTGATCCAATTTTTGTCTGGGTTCTCTATTCTTTTCCATTGGGTATTTATCCATAATTGTACTAGTATGTGGCTATTTTCACAGTACTATGTTATAGGCTTTGAAGTTGGGAAGTAAGAGACATTCTACTTTGTTCTTCTTAAGTAGTGCTTTGATTTTTGCTGGGTTTCTTTCCTCTACATATAAAGTTGCTTATGTTCCCAAGAGCATCCTCAATCTCTCCTCCCAGTACCTGGAAGTTAGCCCTCCCTCCCCTCCCCTCTACAGACATGCACCTATGTTTCCCTAAAACTTGACCAATCCCTCTCCCCATTTCTGAGCTGCCTCTACTATCAGTAAGCCTCATTCCTCTTACAGGGCTGCCTCCCTCTCTGGAAGATCTCACCTCAGCTCCACCTGGCTACCATTCAGCAGACAATGAGATTGAAGATTCTTTGGGGAACATTAGGTGGGGAAGATCCTTACTGGTGTGCAGCTTGTGGGTAGGCACAATTGATCAAGGTAATCTAGGGATGTCCTGGGGACCCAGACCGTGTATTGTAGAGCACTGGGACACTGAACTCTGCATAATCAGGGCACACAGCATGCTCCAGAAGGTGCATCAGTAAGACCACCATACAGGAACTCCGTTGGCTGAACTGGAAGCTACCTCAGACACATTTGTAGCCTGAGGACTCAAGCCAGAAAATACAAAGTGTCTGAGGAAACAGAAGACAGCTGTAGCAACAGCAATATATTGTTGGTTGGCAGACAAACAGCATTGTGCTACATCAATGCCCTATAGGCATATTGAGACATATTATTCTGGTAATCCTGAGATGATCATTCTTTTATATTTGCTTATGCTTGTGCATATTCGGGTATATCTCAGAGGTGTGCTGCAATTGGGGGTCACCCTCTCAAAGCTGCGTCATTTGTTCTTTATTTCTGTAAATTAAACTAAGGGGTGTTCAGCCAATACGGTAAGAAAACATAGCAAGGGGGAAAGGTGATATAGAGGGGTGGGGAGGATAAGAAAGAGATGATGTCAAGAAGCCCAGGAAGGAAAAATATGTTTGGAGACTGATTATAGAAGAAATTATACAAATAGGTTTGACATGATTGAACTAGGGGATAATATGACATATGTATTCGTTCCCAAGTTTTAGTAAATTATGTACATATAAAAGCATATCCAGAAGTGAGTTCTGGGCTCACACTGAATCCTGGCTCCAAATTAAGAACAATTAGTTCTTACATCTTGGTGGCCCAGCTCAATACTCACCTTTATGAAATGATCACTGAAGGTAAGGGTGCTACAGCAAAGTGTGGCAAAGAAAGAAGGTAGGTGGTGTCATGTATCAATAGAAATAACGTCTGGGGTCTTAAAGGCTTGTAAAAGGAGCCATCAAGCAAGGTGTCAATTAAGTCCACACAGAAGAAGCACACCCGCTTGTGTGCTCCAAAGATGTTAATTACAGAATATGAATATGGTGAAGAGAAAAGTATCAGAGCTAAAATTATGGGCACACAATTTGTAGAAGGCTATAAAGTACAGTGAGAATCCAAATCTTACCGACACAGTAGCTAGACAGACAGAGCTGCTGGCAGATCAGCTCTAGCCAAAGGCAAAAGTCCCAAACAGTCTTACTTCTCAGGCAGAAACCATTGTAATCTTCATTATATTGGATTGAACTCAATACTTGTTCCGTTGACCTCACCATAGACATGACCTGAATTTGTTCTGTGTGCAAGCATCCCTTAGATGTTCCATGACAGAAATTTCTTCCCTGGCTACTTGAATTTTTATGGGGGTTTTCTCCCTCTCATGCATAATTTGTATTTTTTCCTTATACTATTATGGTCTTATCCTTCCCACCTTGGTATGATTTGGTTTCCATCATCACCTGTTGAGTTTCCCAGATGTGAAGCACAGGAGTGGAGGTATAATAATATCGGTGTATAAACTGATACAAGGTGCTACAGGGAATGCGAGGGTGGGGGGTGGGTGCTAGGGAAGGAAAGGGGGTTTCAGGAGTAACTAATGAAGATGGGAAGGAGCATAGAACTGATCATGATTACACAACTAATTTTAAAGACGATTTAACCATGGGTGGGGCAGTGGGGCGTGCGATAAGATAGACGTGGTGCTTATAGTACAATTCCCCTTGATATGATTGAATGATTGAAATATTCAATTGTATGATATCTAAATTGTGTGCCAAAAAAATGTTGAATAAATAAATAAATAAATAAAGTTGGTTATTAGTTTTTCCATTTCTTTAATGAATGATCTGGATTGGAATTGTATTGTATTTATCAATTGCTTTGGACAGTATTAACATTTTTAACAATTTTATCTTTCTATCCATGAACATGGAACATTCTTCCATTTGTGTAGGTCTCATTTGGTTTCTTGCAGTAATATTCTGGAGTTTTCTTTCTACAGTCTTTGGTTTCTCTGGTTAGGTTTATTCCTAAGAGTTTCATCTTTTGTGTGGCTATTGTAAAAGCCATTGTTTTGTTAATTTCAAAACAACAGAAATCAGAGCTATCTTCCTTAGTGTATAGAAATGTGACTGATTTTGTACACTATCTTGTACCCTAACGTACTGCTGAAACTTTCAATTATTTCCAACATTTTCTTGTTGGGTGTTCAGTGTTTTTTACATATAGAATCATATCATTATTGAAGTCATAGATCCAATCCTATAAACTTTAAATCTCTCTCTCTCTCCTTATATATAGTGATTATATCCTTTATAATTTATCACACATAATTAGCTTAGTGGCCATAAATTGGTAGAGTCCCTTAAATTTGTATACTGTGTTAATATTATTTCCCTCATCCTTGATAATTATGTCTGTGTTGTCTTCATCCTCTTTACAGCTTAATAAAGGGTCCCCATGGAATATGCTTGAATCTGTTTTTTTTTCTCCTAGAACATTTCATAAGTAAATTTAATATATATTATGTTATTTAAACAAGGACACCTTTGAAAGCAAAAGGAGTACTATTAATAAGGATGCTAAGAAAAACAGGTATAAATCATGACAATATGGGGACACAGCAAGTATGCTTACCTTATTCATATGAATATTCTTGGATAATATTTCTTTACTTGGATATATTCTTAATCATGTTCTAAACTCTTGTGGTAGTTAGGTATGATGGGTCAGGATTCTCCCATGATATGATCTAACACAGTCTGGTGTGGTGAACTTCATGATGGGACCTTTGTGAAACAGTCAAGGAGTTGGAAAAATAAGCCTCCTTATTCTGGCGATAGCCTTGATACCACTGAAGAAAGGTTCTTTAACTATATGGCCTACTCAGTAAAAATTGATAGTGTATGGAAGTTAGCTCATTTCTGCTGGATTTGGATCATGCATCTGGTTCTCGGATCTTTTGTTATATCATCTACCTATCCCAGGAGAAATCAACAGACTGTGGACATTGGATTCATTCAGCCAATCATGGATTAATTCAGCTCAGCGTTCACTAGCCCTTGGGCTTCCTGCTTCATCTTCCTGCTTCCTGTTTGTCAGCCCCAGTAGCTATAGGTGTCACGAGAAGTCTTAAGTATGGAAGCCTTGAACCAGACTGGATTTAGCCACTTCTACAACTGTGTGAGCCACTTCTAGATATAAATCTCTTTATATATACATACACATACAAATGTCACTAGTTTTGCTTCCCTAGAGAATCTAGCCTAGCACAACTCTAGAATGAAAAATGTTTTATTTTTATACAAATATTTTTAAAACTTGAGCTTTTACTATTAGCTTACAATTGGTCCAATTTTTTGCTAGAAATTTTAAAAGAAAAGAAAGCTTCATAATCTATGCCCTTAATGATAATATCTGTTTAGAAAGAAAGTTATAGAACTGTGCACAAACACACACACACACTGATAAAATGTGAGATAGAATAGCTTATAGATAATTCTTGTAAGTCAAGTCTGTGGCAAGACTTTCATTCCCCCCCCCCCATTCCTCTTAAAATTGCCTACTGTGAAGTGTTGCTCATAGCGGAAATACCATCAGGATTTTTGTATTGAATGAAAATCCTTGTTCATTTGGGATAATTCAAAGCAATTCTCTCTTACGTATGAACAAGTTGATGATTCCTTGTCGAATTGGCCGAGTCTTAACACTGTAGATTATGGGATTGAGTACAGGAGGCACAAAGAGGTAGATACTAGACATGAGTGTGTGTACCATGGGTGAGGCATGCTTGGCAGCACGATGCATCACAGACACGCCAATCATAGGCACATAATACACAAGTACTGCACAGATATGTGACACACATGTGTTCAGGGCTTTCCTCCTTCCTTCACCAGAGGCAATACCCAGTACAGTATAAAGAATCAGCACGTATGAGACCACAATGAGCAGTGAATCTAGCCCAAAAGTAGCCAGGACAATAGCCAATCCCAGGATGCTATTGAGCTTAGTATCAGCACAGGGCAGCTGAATCAGGTCTGAGTGGAGACAATAGGAATGGGAGAGGATATTAGTATGACAATAGGGCAGTTGCCTCAAAAGGATCGGAAGTGGAGCCATGAGGGCCATACTCTTCAGTGTAATGCCCAAACCTATGGAAATGATACGGGGCAGGGTCAGGATTGCTGTATACCTCAGTGGACTATAGATGGCTACAAAGCGGTCATAACTCATGGCCAATAAGACACCTGACTCCATGCAGGAAAAGGTATGAATGAAGAACATTTGGGCCAAGCAGCCATCAAAGTCCACCTGGCGGGCATCAAACCAAAGGATGCCCATGACAGTCGGTAGTGTAGATATAGAGACACCCACTTCAGTGATGGCCAGCATGGAGAGGAAGAGATACATGGGTTCATGTAGGGCATGGTCTGCTTGCACTGCTGCCATGATTAAGCTGTTGCCCACAATAGCTATGATGTACATGGTGAAGAAGGGGATAGAGAGCCAGCCATGCTGAGCTTCCAGGCCAGGAATGCCAGTCAGGAAAACAGGTAAGAGATCAAGGCTTGCATTTGCCTTGGCTCCCATGTCATCAATAGCAGAGACCAGTCTTCACCTGCCATTTGAAAACAAAAGTTGATGTTAGCTCTCACCTGTAGCATCTTCAGCCTTCCCAGATCCTCACCACACACACACACACACACAATGTGAGAGACACTCTATTCTTTCATCTATTCATCTGTATTCAGAATCCTAAAATTCTGCATGTATAGAAAGAAGATACTTCAGATTGAACAATCTTTATGAAAAACAGCATAAGAAGAAAATAAGATTAAAAACTTTGGTATAAATCAAACCTGGATCAAAATCCATGCCCAGATCGATATGTGATACAGGTAGCTTCTGTGTATTCTGATTTTCTGTCGCTGTTTTTACATGAAAATTAAAATTAATAATAAATATCTTCTTTGGATATAATAAATAAATGAGATAATTAATACTATATGCGCAGTGTTTTAGAGAGCTACAAATGGATTCCAAAGACCTTAGTATGAATTTCAATTGACAGCTTATTCTATGTGTTTCTTAAAGCAGTTCATTTAACATTCACAAAGTCAAGTTTCCTCATATATAAATTGCAAATAAAAATGCATTTGTCTCAAAAACTATTGTAAAAAAGAGTGCATGATTGGTGAAGCACTTCATACATATAAACTAGTTCATAGGAAGACACAAGACCCAGAGAGGTAAAGTGCATGTACTCAAGGCTTCCTAGGCAGTTTTGCAGGGCCTGGGTTATAGTTTAAATCCACTGCCTCCTCATGGAGTGAATTGTGTGGTCATCTCTGTGAGGATGACAATAAACTCCAGTCTTATTAGGATGGAGTCATCAGAACGAAGCGAGTTTTATCTGGTGACACTGTCAGGTAAGGGTTGGACTGCTAATCACAAAGTGGCTGGTTCAAACCCACCAAGGGTTTTATGGGGGAAAGTTGAAACTACCAGCTCCCATAGAGATTTACAGCCTCGGAAACCCCTTATAGACTAGCTAGAATCTGAATTGTTTCAATTGCAGTGAGTTTTTTTGTTTGTTTGCTTGCTTGCTTATTAAGAATCTAAGAAGAAAGGGGTACTTGGGGAAGTTGTATACTTTGTAAAATAGAAAAAAGGATAAATATGAACAAGCGCAATGAAGGCTATTGTCATTCCTGGTAAAGCATCCAGATATACACATGAACTCTGAGATTAAAAGCACTAACCAGAGAATTTATTGAATAAATATGTAGGTGACTCCAAAAGTAACAACAGATTTAATCTAGAATTCACAGAGAAATAAAAGCCACAGGGTTAAATTAGTGTATTCACTAGTGGTCAAACAATCACAGAGAAATAACTAAATCCCAATCAACATGAAAAAAGACTAACGTAATCTACTAACAGTGAAGTGGGAATTTGCACTCATAATTTGGTATAAATGCTGAATTATTTCTGATGATCAGATCAGATTCAACAGTTATAAATATGATTTTTTAATTTTGTGGTTATCCACAATTGATGTAAAATGCTGTGTGGATGTATAACCTTAAAAAATGCTCTGATATAGTTGCTGGGCAATGGAAGGAGGAATTGTCCAGCTAAGGAAATATCAAAAATGACAGCTACGGAGGGAAGTGCACAATGACTCTGAGCACAGGCTCCGAACCTGTGTTCTCTTACTCTCTTCACTCTCAGATATTTCTTCACGAGCCAGCTCTGTTGAATCTCCACAAATTATATCTCTGCACTTTCCTCAAAAATGAACAATTTGGGAGATATTATACTCACCAAAGTTAGTCAATCTCATAAAAACAAACACTGTTTGAGATGATTAATACTAAGGGAAAAAAGTCAAGAGCAACAGTTTTCACCCCAAAAGAAATGGACTTTGGTGGTTATGAGGAGACTGGGGAGAGAGGAAAAGAAAGGGCTTGGAGGAGTGTAAATTAATTAATTTCATTTCCCCTCTCCAAATGCTATGATCCATATGCACATAACTCCCTGAAGCTGTCTCATATAAAACCTTCACAGCTATATCTGACTACCCTCTTCATAATCCTGCTTTTTGGCTGTTTCGTAGTCTTCTCAATGATTGACCACGTTGCTGGCATTGACTACAGTCTGGTACATGACCCTCGGGTAACCTCAAGGATTGATTGTACCTATAAAAACAGATTAACAATTTCCTTGATTGGTGAAATATGTTCCCCAGTTTCTTGCTGAATTCTACTCTGAATTAGCTTGATTCTAAGCTGAATTAGCTTGATTCTACTCTGTATATAGATTAGCAATTAGCTTAGAGGACACGGGACACTTAGATGAATATTATTCTTTTGGAGAAAATCTTTTTGAAAATGAGATTTGGAAATATGGGGGTTTTACATTATTATTTGTTTCACTTTTGTTTTTGTCTTAAGTTTCTCCATCCTAGGACGAACAAATCAAAACGTGCAGGCAGTAACAGGCACAGGGAGACCGAGGCACAAGGAGAGGGACTGAGAGAATCACACAGAGGCACAGTCAGAATTATTGCAAGTGTAAACGCATTTGTAGGACTTAGAAAACTAAGACATAGAAACACACTCAGAAGACATAAAAAGATTCAAACTCACCCCTCAAATCTCAGAAAAGTGGTGGCTGAATGGCCTAGTGTGGACAGTTACTTCAGAACGAGCCTTATGCAGGCACAAAGCCAACCAAGGGCTAGACTTTATGTCTCTGAGAGAGAATTCTCGAAGGCCAGGTCAACATCGGATCTGATTGGTTTGAGTTCAATGTTGTTGTGGGAAAAGAAGGGCATTTACCTTGGGATTAGGAAGGTGGGGTGTGGGGAGAGAAGAAACTTCCCTGGAGAGACTGTTGATTCCCCTGGGAGAAAATGAAGCTCCATCTCTTTCCCTGTGATGACGAGGATGGAGAAACATTTCTCCAAGATCCATATCAGCACAGTGCATCCAAATTACCCAGCCTTAAGGCTGAAGCGCTGAGTCCAGATTTCATAACTCAATCCAAGGCCATCCCTAACCCTTAGAGCCCAGGTGGAAAACTCATGAATTCAGATCTAAGAGCACAGAGTTTAGAAGTAGAATCTGCCCCAGATTTTAAGAATAAAGAATAAGACTACGGCTCCCATCACACCAGACAAGGCTCATCCACTTAGTTCTAGTACATTCTACTTAGTTCTCACTATCTCTCCACTAACTTTTCACAAGTTTCAGATGGAGGGGGTGTTTGCTCCAGGACAGATAGATCAGATCCTAAAGGATCTTACCATTCAAGGTCATACAAGCTCAGGTGTGAGTCTTGCCTTTTCTATGTATACTGACCTTTCAACCTGGAATTTAATGTGTGAGAGGGATGAGAGAATTACATGAAAACACAGAAGAGGTGAGACATTTTAGCATTGGGGGGTTTTATTTATTTCCATACTGATCCAACACCAAACGATAGTTTTACTGATCATAAATTTGGCTGTAGGTGTTAATTTCAGTTTCCCCAAGCCAGTTCTTTCCTAAACCCCTTGTTCCCTCATCTCTTCTTTGCTCTGTGTTTCACTTTCAGATAGAGTGGGCTGTATTGCATGAAGAAATGGTGGGAGAACTCTCTCCCTGGTCTAGTAAATGTAAGATGAGCCAGGGCAGGCAGAGGAGGTTAGACAATGTTTTCCATTCCCTTTGTGGACTTCTGAGATAAAATGGTGTGCCTGAGAGGTTCCCTTTGAGAAGAACGCTCTCTGTTCTTCTTCCATGTTGTAGGGCTGATAAGGTGTAAAATAATAATTTGGGAGCCAGAAGATGGGAGAATAGGGACAGAAACCTGGTGAGGAAGGTCACATAATCATGGGGCATAGGGCATATGATAAGTGTGATCTTTGAGAAGTCCAAGGGTGAAATCACTCAAGTTATGTATCACCTCTGGACTTCTTCCCTGATATTGCTTCTGATACACACATTGAGTGAAGGAAAAATAAAACGGCAGATACAAAAGGAATTGTGAAGAATGAATATTACACTTGAATAATATTTTGGATTAATTTATTATAACCATTTGCTGTCAAGTCAATGCTGACTCATGTCACTCCCATATGTGTCAAAGTAGAATTATGTGACCAACGTATAACACCCCCAACCCCCACCAGGGGAACAAACAACAGAAATGTGGGTGAAGGGAGAAGATATGAAAATAATTTATAATTTATCAAGGGGTCACGAGGGTGGGATGGGAGGGAGGGAAAAAAGAGGAGCTGATACCAAGGATTCAAGTACAAAGAAAATATTTTGAAAATGGTGATGGCAACATCTGTACAATGTGCTTGATACAATTGATGTATGGATTGTTATAAGAGCTATAAGAGGCCCCAGTAAAATGATTTATAGATATATACATAAAAGTAGAATTGCTCGCTCTAGGGTTTTCACTGAGTGCAATCTTTTAGAAGTGGATTGCTAGGCTGTTTATCATACGAGCCTCTGGGTGGATTAAAATTGATAACCTTTCAGTTAGTTTCCAGGGCTTAACCCTTTGTGCCACCCAATAACTAACTCTATTATTATGCAGAATGACATAATAATTACCCAAGGCTTATTCGGCAATCACAGTAGCTAGTTAAAACTGATTTAAGGGGCACATAATCTTTGCAATCACATAGGCACTCGCATTCAGAAAGGCTCTGCCCTTGATTTAATGCTTGCTATCTTCATCTTGAAACTCTTGGTAATTTTAATGCATTTTTTATTTTGCACCAAAATGTACAAGTTATGCATCCAATCCTGTACCTACTCTATTGTACACTCATATGATATTTTTTATACTCAATGGAGATGGACCTTGTGCTTGGTCAACGAAAGGGTCAATGGAAGAGGGCATGTTTCTGTGGGCTGGATCAGAGAGTGAGAGCAGAGGAAGCATTGATTCTGAGGGATGACCCAGCATCGGCAATGCTTTCTTCTGTTCTATATAAAGTTGCTATAACTTAGAGCCAGGTCAACGGAATCTAACAACAACAAGATATTTTTTTTGTGATCATTATATGCCTCCCCCTCTCAGTCTTT